AGAGAGAGAGAGAGAGAGAGAGAGAGAGAGAGAGAGAGAGAGAGAGAGAGAGAGAGAGAAGGCATGGTCTGCGAATCCACACCAACCTAACTACTTGGAAGGCACACACACACACACACTCCTCTGTCTTAGGTAAGTTGCTTCTTGCCCTCCACCCTTTTATGGATCAAATAAATATATGCAATCAGACTCACTTTCTTTCCCACTCTGTACTTATGCAAACAGATGGCGAGACACACTGGAGCACAGCGCTCACTCAAAGCGCAGAGATATAGAAGTCGAAACCCAGTTCAGATACAAGCTCGATTCAACAGGCTATGGCGCCTCAGCGCCTGAACACTCCAACCCTTGTCTCTCTGTTCAACACCACCGTTCACACACACTCACCTCAGGATCACCCTGGATATCCCACACGCGGCGCACTGTATCACCCACACACGCACACTCTACACTCGCCTATCACCTACGGCGGCTATGGCCGCTCAAACCTGCTGGCTATGGCTACGCATCCTCAACTCTGCCCACTTCGTCTTCGGGCTCTCTGCAGACCACCTCGCACAAGTCGCTCAAGCAGCGCTTCCTCATGGCTTACGCAGGAATGAATGAATGGCTGGACGCTGCCTCTTGATTTATACTTCTGGTCGTGGCTGGTCTGCCTCATTTCCACCTGGCCCTGAGTGCACACAGTCCCACATGGTACTTGCAAACTGGACTTAGTGAGACTGGAACCGGGTACTGCTGACTCAGCACAGGTGGACTCCACCACTTGCCCACTTGCCTCTGGACTGCTGTGAGCAACGTCTGAAGGGCCACTTCCGGACCCTCCGGAAGTCTGTGGACTTGGCCCTTCGACACTGTAGCAGCTACGACCTTAACCTTTCAGGACCGTAGCAGCTACGGACTTGACCTTTTGGAAGGGCTAGAGCTACGAATTCTAGACTCACTAAGACTTCTACCCGAAAGGTCTATAGATCGAACCCCTACAATCTATAGATCTATGCCAGCCTAACAAATGCTGCGAACACACAGGTCACGCGTTCAACTTTGGGGGTCGATACAGGTATTGTACACAGGTAAGGTGAGAACTAGGGATCGAGCCCTGGGATCTGCATCTGTTACCGCTAACAGGTGAATACCGTTTCACTCCCGCCGGCCCAAATTCGAGGTCCTCTGAGAATAATTCAGTCCAAGATCGGATTTTTACCTTTCCTTTCCCTCTCGTAGGCCCTAACTACGCCGGGAGCAGTTTCTAGAAGTCAGTCCTAGTAAACCAGCGATCGTCCTCGGGTTCCTGATAAGCAAATCGAACCTTATACTGTTTTTGTGGACGACCTCTACCTCTTGTTCTGAATACGTCTTCACCTACAATGCCTTCAATGTCATATCTTCCATCCATGTCCGGAGGGATCATGGATCTTGTAGATGGAAAATGTTGGCTTGTGACACATGGCAACAACTTTGAAGCATGAAACACAGGGTAGGTGTGGAGGTGTGCTGGGATCTCTACTGTGTAGGACGGCCCATCCTCTCCGCCCTCAACTTCTAGAACTGGCCACGGTCCTCTATATGCGGGCAGTAACTTCTACGAAATGTTCTCCTCAGGAGCAAATTCTTTGGACTTGACCAAGACAAGGTCGCCTACTTGGAACTGTGACGGGCGGCGATGCTTATTAGCCTGTTCATACATTTTGTGTTGGGCCTTCCTGAGGTTTTCAACAACGGTAGCTAACTCCTTCTCGTTCTGCATCGCAAACTCCCTAGTACCGGGCGGTAGCCTATGAATCTGATCCCGGTTAAGTCCCTCAAACGTTCTGCACGGTCTAAAGGACTTGTGCAACTCATTGGGAGTACGACAGGTGGCTAAGTGCGCGTTATTGTTGTACGCACTGGCTACCTTGGGCAACATCTCATC